GGAGCTGCAGAAGAGACACACGTGCACAGACCTGGGTGAACTGACAAGCTATCTTGGCTTGCGGATCACCCGGGACAGAGCACGGCGCACCATTACCTTGACTCAGTCACACATGGTGCAGCAGATCCTTCAGCGCTTCCGCTTCACGTACTCCTCGCCACAGTCCACTCCTCTGCCTACAGGTCACTCGCTCTCAGCTCTGCCTTCGGATGAGTCCGTAGAGCCGAGTGGCCCGTATCCAGAGCTTGTGGGCTGCCTCATGTACCTGATGACCTGCACTCGACCTGACCTTGCATACCCTCTTAGCATCCTTGCACGCTATGTCGCTCCTGGCCGTCACAGGAAGGAGCACATGGATGCTGCTAAGAGGGTGTTGCGCTACTTGTGCAGTACGTCGGGCATGGGGCTAGTGCTTGGAGGGCAAGACCGAGTTGTACTCACTGGTCACTCAGACGCTTCTTGGGCGGACGACCAGGCTACTCAGCGGTCGTCTCAGGGTTACACCTTCAGCCTTGGCTCCGGCTCAGTTTCTTGGCGTTCCACACGCTCTTCTTCTGTTCTCAGCTCCAGTTGTGAGGCTGAGATCTACGCCACAGCCATGGCGGCCCAGGAGCTACGCTGGCTGACCTACCTGCTGACCGACTTGGGAGAGCGGCCTCGTTCTCCTCCAGTGCTGTACGTCGACAACAAGGCTGCCATTGCCTTGTGTGAGGAGCACAGACTGGAGCACAGAACGAAGCACATCGCCCTGCGGTACTTCCTTGCTCGAGAGCTGCAGCAGCGCGGTCAGCTTTGTCTGCGTTACGTGGCCACTGAGGCCAACACTGCTGATGTGTTCACCAAGGCGCTTCAGCCTTGTGACCATCAGCGCTTCTGTACTCTTCTAGGCCTTGTGCCTGCTGGACCTCACTTGCTTACTTCTTGACTATATTTGTACTGTGATCTCTATATATATACCTGCATGCTTACACTTGCTAGGTTGCGATCACTGTATCTCTTGCTATATTATCAAACTGCATGTGAACTGGTCTTGTGACCGCTTGCTTGTGCTCGGAATTTGTGTGGAATCCTCGAGATCCACCCTGAGCCTGTTTTGCTTTGCTTTGCTTTGACTGGTCTTGTGACCCTCTGGTTGTCTCCCACTTCGCCTATGGGGGTGTGTCAAACATTGTATGTTTATATTGTGTAGGCTATAGTGGGTTTAGCCTTAGAGGGTACACAAACTTAGGGTTTCATACTTGTACCCACCTTCCTGCTAGTTCATCCATTCTCGTTCTATTCTAGATTCTGACACGCTTGTCTTGTCCTATTGCCAAGCCAACAAGGGCGTGGGAGGGTTGCGAGCATCATCGGTCATCGGCGCTTGCAAATGAAGAGCGCCCGCAACACTTCCTGCACGAATGCGGATCCTTCAGCATTTTGGGGGTAGAAGTGCTCATTTTAGGCGTTTTTCTCCTACCAGGTCACGTGGCTGCGCTTGTTTGGTCCTCTTGCCAAGCCAGCAAGGTCGTGGGAGGGTTGCGAGCATCATCAGTCATCGGCGCTCGCGAATGAAGAGCGCCCGCTGCACTTTGTGCACGTGTGAAGATCCTTCCGGGTTTGGGGGGTACTAGCGTTTGTTCCGAGCGTTTTTCTTCTACGGAGTAACGTGGCTGCACTTGTCTGGTCCTCTTGCCAAGCCAGCAAGGGCATGGAAGGGTTGCGAGCATCATTGGTCATCGGCCCTTGAGAATGAAGAGCGCCCGCTACACTTCCTCCACATGTGCGGATCCTAGCGCGTTTTGAGGCTAGAAGCGCTCGCAGTGAGCGTTTTTCTTCTACCAGGTCACGTGGTTGCGCTTGTCTGGTCCTCTTGCCAAGCCAGCAAGGGCGTGGAAGGGTTGCGAGCATCATTGGTCATCGGCTCTTGAGAATGAAGAGCGCCCGCTGCACTTCCTCCACATGTGCAGATCCTAGCGCGTTTTGAGGCTAGAAGCGCTCGCAGTGAGCGTTTTTCTCCTACCAGGTCACGTGGCTGCGCTTGTCTAGGCTTCTTGCCAAGCCAGCAAGGGCTTGGAAGGGTTGCGAGCATCATTGGTCATCGGCCCTTGAGAATGAAGAGCGCCCGCTGCACTTCCTCCACATGTGCAGATCCTAGCGCGTTTTGAGGCTAGAAGCGCTCGCAGTGAGCGTTTTTCTTCCACCAGGTCACGTGGCTGCGCTTGTCTAGGCTTCTTGCCAAGCCAGCAAGGGCGTGGAAGGGTTGCGAGCATCATTGGTCATCGGCCTTTGAGAATGAAGAGCGCCCGCTGCACTTCCTCCACATGTGCAGATCCTAGCGCGTTTTGAGGCTAGAAGCGCTCGCAGTGAGCGTTTTTCTTCCACCAGGTCACGTGGCTGCGCTTGTCTAGGCCTCTTGCCAAGCCAGCAAGGGCGTGAAAGGGTTGCGAGCATCATTGGTCATCGGTCCTTGAGAATGAAGAGCGCCCGCTACACTTCCTCCACACGTGCGGATCCTAGCGCGTTTTGAGGCTAGAAGCGCTCGCACTGAGCGTTTTTCTTCCACCAGGTCACGTGGCTGCGCTTGTCTAGGCCGCTTGCCAAGCCAGCAAGGGCGTGGAAGGGTTGCGAGCATCATTGGTCATCGGTCCTTGAGAATGAAGAGCGCCCGCTGCACTTCCTCCACATGTGCGGATCCTAGCGCATTTTGAGGCTAGAAGCGCTCGTTCTGAGCGTTTTTCTTCTACCAGGTCACGTGGCTGCGCTTGTCTAGGCCTCTTGCCAAGCCAGCAAGGGCGTGGAAGGGTTGCGAGCATCATTGGTCATCGGCCCTTGAGAATGAAGAGCGCCCGCTGCACTTCCTACACATGTGCGGATCCTAGCGCGTTTTGAGGCTAGAAGCACTCGCAGTGAGCGTTTTTCTTCTACCAGGTCACATGGCTGCGCTTGTCTAGGCCTCTTGCCAAGCCATCAAGGGCGTGGAAGGGTTGCGAGCATCATTGGTCATCGGTCCTTGAGAATGAAGAGCGCCCGCTGCACTTCCTCCACATGTGCGGATCCTAGCGCATTTTGAGGCTAGAAGCGCTCGTTCTGAGCGTTTTTCTTCTACCAGGTCACGTGGCTGCGCTTGTCTAGGCCTCTTGCCAAGCCAGCAAGGGCGTGGAAGGGTTGCGAGCATCATTGGTCATCGGCCCTTGAGAATGAAGAGCGCCCGCTGCACTTCCTACACATGTGCGGATCCTAGCGCGTTTTGAGGCTAGAAGCACTCGCAGTGAGCGTTTTTCTTCTACCAGGTCACATGGCTGCGCTTGTCTAGGCCTCTTGCCAAGCCATCAAGGGCGTGGAAGGGTTGCGAGCATCATTGGTCATCGGCCCTTGAGAATGAAGAGCGCCCGCTGCACTTCCTCCACATGCGAGCATCATTGGTCTATAGGCGTGGCGGCAAAGGAGTGGGAGCGTCGCAAAACGGGGGATTACGCGCCTCTTCTTGCACGGAACCGAGGCGTGCAGTTCACCCCTTTGATAGTGGAGACATGAGGGTGTCTCGGCGGTCGCTTCCGGCGGTGGCTTCGACAGCAGGGGGACGCGCACGTGGGGCTAGCTGTGTCACGGGGGGCTTGTCGGGAGGATGACACTTCGTTCTCGGCTTACCTTTTGGGGTCTCTGAAGGCGCTCATCGGAGTGGCGTTACAACGGGCGCAAGCTCGTGTCATCCTGCTTCGGGCGGCGTCTTCCATGGGGGGGTTGAATGTGGACTTGGTGGATCGGGAGAGGGACGATGTCGAGGTGGAGGGCGGGCCTCTTTGGGTGGAGGCCCCCTACATGGTGGATGTGCAGATGTGACTTGGGGGGGGAGGGGGGGGGGGGGGCGAGGGGGAATGGGGTGCGAGATGGGACGTCTGGTTGGAGATCCTGGTTGGGTTTTTTCTTTATGGAGTATTTTTATGGGGCTTTTTATGGGTGTTGCGTTTGAGTTGTTTCTGGTGTCTTTCTTTCCCTTTTCCTTCTCCCTCTTTCTCTTTTCCTCTTTCAAAAAGCGTGATGCCAGTTTCTGGGACTTCATCAGGTCAAGTTTCGATTTCGTCACAAAAAAAAAAAAAAAAAGAGATATGATATACCATGAAACTAAAGTCTGACATAAAGTTTACATAAGAAGAAGACAATAGTGATCAATTTTTAGAAAACACCAATTGTCTCATATCAGTGATCCCAAATCGTGTTACCTCATTATCTCTCTTTCAGTATATACCGTAGGTGCTAAGGAGATAGATGTGTGTCCTACATCGGAGCTGTCCCATAGCGAGCATACACCCCGATTTCGCTTGTCATGCATGCCATGTGGTTCGCTGATGCGCATGCGACCCCTGTGCGTGCGGCAGACCTGACTGACACGGACATTCTGTCCTGGCATGGCAACCGTCCTGGCAACCGAGGTGTGCTATAGTCCAGCAGCACTTGCCACTCTCGCCCTCATTTCCTCAGCTTTTTTGCAGAAGCAGAGCAAGATTCCCTCAGCTACGAATTATTCTCGTTAAAGCAGTCTTTTAATCAGCGTTCATGGGGCCTAAGAAGGGCAAGCGTGGCGGAGGCGCAGGCGGAGGCGCTGGCGGAGGTCGCGGGGAAGGGCAAGCTGGCGCGCCGAGGTAACTGCTCGTTCGCAGCCCTTATCATTTTACTCCGTCGTCGCCTATTCCAGCTCGCTATCTTTCCTCGAATTAAACTTGTCTTTCAGAGAAATCTCTGTCGCGGTCTCTGTCTTGGTTTTATCTCTGACGCGCAGTGTCTTGCGCACTTGTTTAAGAACCACGAACGAAATACTGAGATGCGTGCCATTGTCGCTTCGCACTCGCCTCTCTTCGCTGCGCCGTCGTTGTCATGGCACGCTCTGTCTCGTCCGTCTGTACATGAAATACGAATCAAATATTTACATTCACGTCATTGTGGGTCCTGCCGGTATCTTTCTCCCGTTGCACCCGCCTCCCTGCGTGCAGCGCAGCACCACCGGCGTCAGCAGCGCCGTCTCAGCCGCCCGCGGCGGGCAGAGGCGCCCCGTCCCCCGCAGGAGGAGGTTGGGGGGGAAGGGGTGCGCCCGGAGGGGGAAGGGGCGCGCCGCCAGGGGGAAGGGGTGGGCCCGCTCCCGCAGGAGCACCAGGGGGAGCGGGGGGCCCTGGCGCAGGCGGAGGGCGCGGACGCGGAGGCCGCGGGCGGGGAGGACGCGGAGAGCAGGCGCAAGGAGCGGGGGGGGTTGGGGGCATCACCGCAGGCATGGCGCAGATGGGTGTGTCTGCGCCACCCGCGGATTTCCCCGCCCTCGCACCTGCGCGCGCCCCCGCTCCTACCCCCGCGACCGCTGCCCCTACTCCCGCCCCTGTGCCCGCTGCTGCTCCGCGCGCGCCGGCACCTGCTGCTCCGGCGCCTGCCCCCGTACCGGCCGCGCCCGCCCCCGTAGCGGTTGCGCCGGCGGCAGCAGCGGCGGGCGCGCCAGCGGCGGGCGTGGCGGTGACTATGGCGGGCCCCGCGGGCGTGTCGAGCAGGGCGCTGGTGGCGGCGGCGCGCCCCGACTTCGGCAAGCTGGGGCGCCCCGTGATGCTGCTGGCCAACCACTTCAAGATTGACCTCCAGGTGCGCGCGCGCAGGGGGGAGCGGGGGGGGAGAGAGGGGGGAGGGGGGGAGGGGGGGATTGGGTGAGGGGAGAGGTGGGAGGTTGGGGTGGCCCGTGATGCTGCTGGCGAACCACTTCAAGATCGACTTCCAGGTGCGCGCAGGGGGGCGGGGAGGGAGAGAAGGGGGGCAAAGGGGGAAGAAGAGGGGCGAGGGGGGAGGGGCAGCGAGTAGGAGAGCGTGTAGGTAACGGGGATGTAATGAAGGGGAGCGAGTTGCGCTTGACCGACGTTCTCCGCGCCCCACCTCACATCCTTCCCTGCATGCCTCTCGTCCTGTCTTGCTCTCCTCTCTTTCCCTATCCCTCGCATCCGTTGCTCGAATTTCTGCCGTGATTCTGCTGATATGGCCCCTTGCGATGTCATTCTGGAACGTTGCCCCTTCCGATGTCATTCTGGAACGTTGTTAACTGGCAAACACTTGTTGCGTTTCCAACCTCTCCCTTGCACGACTTGCTGGTCTATCACTGCCATGTGGACTTCTCCCCCGCGCTCACCTCCAAGGCCGCCTGTTGATGCACTTCAAACCTGCTGCTCCAAACGCCCCTGCCTTCCTGCCACACCCCCCACACACACCTCTCCCTCCCAGGACCTGGTCATCTACCACTACGATGTTGAATTCTCCCCCGCGTTGGCCTCCAAGGGCGTCATGCGCGCAGCCATCCGCCAGCTGGCCCACACCTACAGCGCGCACCTCGTCTCCCCCGCGCCTGGCGGCGCCCCCAGCGCCCCCGTGCGCCCCGTCTTCGATGGCATGAAGAACATTTTCACTGCCCGGCCTCTGCCCTTCGACAGCCAGGAGTTTCGCGTCGTGCTGCCCGAAAAAGACGAAGGGGCAGGCGGGGGGAGAGGTGGTGGAGGTGGGGGAAGGGGAGGGAGCAGCAGTGGTGGTGGGCGCGGGGGCGGGAGGGGCGGGCGCGGAGGGGGGGAGCGGAGGGAGCGGGCGGTGAAGGTGACTGTGAAGCTGGCCCAGCAGTACCCCATGTCGTCCATGGCCTCGTTTCTTCAGGGGAGACAGGCCGACATTCCGCAAGTGCTGCTGCAGGTGAGTGTTGAACTGAATGAGAACACACATGAGGGTGACGGTGACAGTGAAGCTGGCCCAGCAGCACCCCATGTCGTCCATGGCTTCCTTTCTTCGAGGGCGACAGGCTGACATTCCGCAAGTGCTGCTGCAGGTGCGTTGCTGCTCCCACCCATTTGCCTCAACTCTTCCTTCCCCGTCACCTTGTCCCCTATCACCTTTGCCTCCCTCTACTCTGCATTGCTCGGCTTCACCCCACTGGGCCTCCCACCGCGCTCGCCTCACCTGCGCTGCTTGCCGGCCCTGCCCTTCTCTCCGCTCCCCTTCCCCTTCCCCTTCCCCAGGCACTCGACGTGGCCCTGAGGGAGCGCCTGCTAATGAACCTCACCCCGGTGGGCCGTTCACTCTACTCCGCCTCACTTGGCTCCACGCCCCTGGGCGGCGGGGGGTGGCGGCGTACCGCGGCTTCTTCCAGTCAGTGCGCTTCTCCCCATCCCCACTTCCCTTCCCACCTGCCACCCCGCTCCTCCCTGTCAGGCACTTGATGTGGCCCTGAGGGAGCGTCTGCTAACGAACCTCACCCCGGTGGGCCGCTCACTCTACTCCGCCTCGCTCGGCTCCGCCCCACTAGGCTCACGTGCGCTGCTGGCCTACGTTGCCTTTTTCTCCCCTGTCCCACCACCCAGGCACTCGACGTGGCATTGAGGGAGCGCCTGCTCACCAGCCTCACCCCGGTGGGCCGCTCACTTTACTCTGTATCCCTCGGCTCCACCCCACTGGGCGGCGGAGTAGTAGCAGCCTACCGCGGCTTCTTCCAGTCCGTGCGCTTCTCCCAGCAGGGCCTGGCGCTCAACGTTGACATGGCCGCCACCGCTTTCCACCATGACATGCCGCTCCTCACCTTCGCCGCCGACTTTCTCGGTCGCGGGGGGCGGTGGGGGAGGGGGCGGGAGAGGCGGCGGGAGGGGTGGGTATGGGGGGAGGGGAGGCCGGGGGCCGGGAGGGGGAGGGGGCGGGGGAGGGGGAGGGGGGTTTGCACCGAATGCGTCGCTGAGTGATGGGGAGCGCGTGAAGCTGAAGCGCGCGCTGCATGGGATTAAAGTGGGGGTGACTCACCGCGACACACCCCGCCGGTCAGTGCCCGCTTGCTACTCCTACAGTCCTACCCTCTTGTTCTGGCCCTGTTCCTCACCACCAGGACTGGAGAGGATCTTCTTCTTCCCTGACCCCTCTCCCTCTCCCTTTCCCTCTCTTCTTGCCGTCATCCCCCCCTTCCCCCTCTCCCCCAACCCTTTCCGGTCATATACACTTTCGCTACCGTGTATCTCGTTACCGTCCCTCTGTCCCTCCGCTCGTCTGCCCCTCCGCAGCCATCCACCCACCCCTCCATCTTCTCTTCTATCCCCCTCTTCCCATGCAGCTACAGCATCCAGGGCCTGACGCGCTCACCTTCGCCATTGAAGGGCAGGGCGAGACGTCCCTCGTGGCCTACTTCTGCTTTCACCCCTCCACTTCTCCATCCCTCCCCATCCCCCTCCCCCCCCCCCCGGTGCAGCTACCGCATCCAGTGCCTCACGCGTGAGCCAGCACACGCGCTCACCTTCACCATTGAAAGGCAGGGGGAAACACCTCTCGTATCCTACTTCCGCTCCGCCTACGCCTACACCATCCGCTACCCCAACCTGCCGTGCGTCATGCCCTCCCTCCCCTCCCCTCCCTCCATGCAGCTACCGCATCCAGGGCCTGACACGTGAGCCAGCGCATGCCCTCACCTTCACCATCGAAGGCCAGGGGTTTAGGGTTTAGGGTTTAGGGTTTAGGGTTTAGGGTTTAGGGTTTAGGGTTTAGGGTTTGGGGTTT